ATGGCACACGATTCCCCATATATTTGCGCAAGCCTTCATCAAACCATCTTCTCGCTGTTTCCCAGTCTCAGACAACGCTATGAGAAGCCTCAGAGTTCTGTTTTCACTGTTCAAAAGCTCGAACAAGCTCATCCCCGTCCAGTGCTGTCCAGTGTCGTCATTGTCCATCTATCTGGCCCTCAACCGCTCTTCACCCGCGACGCGGCTTACGCACCCCCCACCCTGCCTCATCGCGGCTCACCATGCATCCCTTGCACTTCTTCCCGAGCGGTGTTCTGGGTGCTTCCCGACCCTGGACCCCTGACATTGACCTGCACGGTTGATTTTGCATGCTTCGGCCGTTTCTAGATGCATCAAGGCAGATATGCAATGTGCTTCAAATATACCGTTTCCAGGCGATGACTGCGGACGAAGGTCGTTTCAATCTTGGTCGTGACATGGAGCGAATGCAACCCGACACTCCAGGCCAAATTTGGGCCACGCGGTAATGAAACTATCTAAGAGCCGAATATTCTCGTCTTTATTCGATTCCACGTGGCAAGGACTGGAAATGAGCGTGGTTGGCCTTGTTATGTCCATCTACCGTCAATGTGTGATCGGGACACAACCTATCAGGATACTCCGTATCACCTCCGCGTTTCTTTCTTGTGAATTTTCATACATTATGATAGTACACTAATATACCAGATGGAGGCAGCCTACGATATACACGATACAGGATACAGAGGGGTCTACTAGTTATACATGTTTAGTGAATCTTGAGTGCTGCCCGCGGCCCCAGCCGATACCATAGGGCCATGGCAGCACGATGTGCCTGCTTTCTATGCCTGCTTTCTATGCCTGCTTTCTCTCATGGAGCCTCTTACGCCAATGCCGCATCCGTCGACATACTGCTGCCGCCGGCGTTGTGATCATCGTCGGCGGGCTCAATGTCGTCCGCCAATCGCCCAATCATCTCCTCGTACGTTGGCCGGAACGGCCACGCCATGAAGGCCTCCATCAGCTCCATCCACTGCTTCTCGCTCAGGACTCTAGAACAGAGCTCCGCGTGCCCCGTTCCAGTCAGTCCGCCCTGGTCCGGGTCCCGCAGGCTGGGACAGTGCGGCAAGATGCCCTCCGCCGCCCCGGGCCAGATGCGCTCCAAAGACTTGCTGACGGGCTCCAAGCCCTGAGCCAGCATGGAACTCCGGAACAGTTCAAACATGTCGCCCGCTCGCGAGGTGCCCGGACCGGACTGTCGGAGGAGCGGATACATCGCCTTGGGCTGTATGTCCAATAGACAACACTCGACGTTGGGGAAGAACTCGTCGGGGTTGACGGCGAGCGGCTCGTAGGGTCGCCTGTCCCAAAGCATCACCGGCGGGTCTTGCCGGAAGATGTGCAAGTTGTCCCGGATGACGCGGAAGTCAATGAGGAAGTTCTTCCCCATCGACGAGACCTTGGCCTCCCACGCCTGTTCGCGCTCGCTCAGTTCCGCGTCTGGGACAGCCTTGGTCGCACGCAGTCGGCTGAGCTCGTACATCTCCGCTAAGAGGGCCGTGTTGCTCTCGGCGTCTTCCTCTTGTGTTTTTAGTGTGTGCCGCAGGAATTTGAGGCGCTTGAAAGACTTTGATGTATTCGACGTGTCCATGGTGCCGGCCGCCAACTCGTCTTCGAGTTGCTTCAGCTCCGCTATGTAGGGCCGGCTGAGATGCGGCGTTTGTACGCCTGCGTGGCGCTCAGGGCCGATAGCTCCTCGTTCGGCCTGCGCTGTAGACTCCAACTTTCGTCCCTCTGGCATCTCCAGCCCATTCTTTTTCATCCTTTCTAGTGCGTCCCTTGTGCTGTCGATATCGATCCATCGATCGCGAACGTGCCAGACGTCTCTCTTGGAGTCCGAATTCGAATGCGCCTCCGTGCCGGCCACTACGCCGAGCCACTCGCACGCAAACTCGGCCTCAATCGCCGACTTGCGCCGCCCTTGAATGTTCCTTGCCAGGAACGAGCGCTGATCGTCGTTGTTGGCCCACACCAGCATGCGCACGAGGCCGTATTTTTGGAAAAGTGTGCCGGTGCGGATACTACTAATGAGCTGAAAGAGCACCATCGCGGCGACGCTATCAAAGTTTCGATAACGTTTCTTGGGGAAGAAGGAGAGGTTCGCCGTCACGAGGAGGGTGTCGTTGCGCGTAGGCTCGATGTCGGGGCCCCTTGGCTGAGGGACCTGGTTCTGGATGTGGCCGAGCACCTCGTTCAGTTCGTTCCAAAGGATTCCGGATTGTGGTATCATTTGTGTATTTGGATTCTCGAGCAGAGGCTCAAGGAAGGGTCGGTAAACATCCTCGTCGGGTTCCATGAGGATATGGGTGCGCGGCTGGAGGACCTCTGAGAGCTTGCGACTCCAGACGCCAGCGCCCGGATTGATGTCAACCAAGTCGCAGCCAACATGTCTTTCGAGTGTAGGACCTATGTATTTGAGGATATCGTCTGGTGGCAGCCCCAATTAGCGTCTTGGTCTGTAATGCGACTGGGTACGGACATTATGAACGCACCGCACAGCTTTTCGTCTACGACATTGACCCGCGACTTGTCGCCCTTTGCCTTTTTCTTCGCCTTGACTTTTTTTGCATCAGGACTGCCCTTTTCCGCTTTCTTGGACCGTGATGGCATCGACCAAAGTCCCGTTTCCGCTAACCTTGACGCCGTCGGGGTTGTCTCCTTCAGAACGGATTGGGCGATCGTGGTTTTGGTTGCGGCAGTACGTCTACCGGGTGTCTGCACTAGACACTTTGAGGGAGGACATCGTGCCCACGTGCGACGTAAGCAAAGTAGCATTTGGGTATACTATTGAAAATTCGTGGTTCGAGACGTGCATTTGGGAGATTCTAGAGAAACTCGAGAGTCAATTCAGACAGCTAATATTCTGCCGACGATTACCGCCAGCTTCGGTCCCGCCTGGCTTATCGATAAAGAATACACCCCACTCAACTCCGTAGTGGGGCCGAGACTCCAAGTCCTTCGGTTCCGCACTTTCGGACGAAAGATCTGAACGCATGAAATGTCCTAACTTAACGAAGCTGTATCTCATCTAGAGACAGCATATTTGCAAGCCAGCTTGCAATCAATTGAGATATTCTTCCTAGTACTATGCAAGCAACAACCGTAGCTTCGCTCAAGTCGCTTTACTGCAAGAAGATCAGAGTCGACCTCGCTTACCCCTCAACTTCGCCAGAGAACACGGTACTTGAGTAAGCCTCGAAAGAAAAACTTGGTACCAACCTCATGACGATTGACCAGTTCTTAATCTACAACATCCATTCTGTGACAATTCGTCCACAACTTATCACGTGAAAAGCTTTGCTACGACGGAGAGAACATTGCGGCAATTGACCAGCAACTGGGCTTCCTCGTTCTCGACGTTTCTCTACTTTTTACGGACCAACGAGCATGGTGTGTCTAACTCTGTGTGCGACTTGCAAGGGTCACTGATCAGAGTGGTTGGTCAATTCTCGAAAACTTCCTTTTGCGAGTCCTGCAAAAACTTCCAAAGAGCCAGCGAATAGTGTGTCAGAGCTGAAGGGCCAGAAAAGACTAGCTTGAGACTAGCCATGCAGCTAGCATGATGCAAGGCATCAGCGGAGAGCGAGATTCTAGACCGACGTGCCGGGACGGAGCTTCCGGGGGGCTTTCTATGAGATGCGAGTCTAAGATCTTACCCGGCAAGTATAAGGAAGCTATTTGTCCTGATGATTCGTTAACCATATGGGCGATCTTGAATTGCCTGAGCGCATTGCCAAAGATGCGTCAAGGATTCGATGGTGCGACATGCAACCCTCCAAAAGACGTCTTCATCACGCTGATAAGTGCAAGGCAACAGTAACAGATAATCTTACGGGATCTCTACGATATCGTGATCTCGCTGGGAATCTCATCACCAATTAGCGAGTTAACAGAACAGGAATCAATGATGGCATCTCGGCTGAAGTGCCCGATGAAAAGCTTTGTTAGCTCGCTCAACAATCTATCCCAGCGCGTTTATGATTGATGACTAGCATCTCCAGTACGGTCTCTCTTTGATGGAATTTCTGTCATTTTCTTCTAGTTTTCTCGAGACCTGGTTTCACTTCGAAGTCCGAGACGAGATGGCATCAAACACTCGATGTCAAGCTTGTGATGCACGCAGCTTCCCTAGTATCGACTAGTCCCCGTCGGGAGGCTTGGTCACTCAAATAACTGTGGTGGCCAATGATCACTCACATCGTGCGGGGCGACCGAGGATTGTTATCCCAGAGTTTGGGATAGTATTTCTTTTTTAATGTGAGTGGCATCCTTGCATTGATTCACCGAGGCCTGGCCCCCTACGCGAACATGATCCAAGAGTTCGCTCGGTTGCCTCAAAACATGTTGCCGGATGGCGTCTTCTGTATTCTTTATTTTTGAGCTTCGGCCCTGACGTGTGATGGGGTAGTGGAAGGGAAGCTGTTTCTTTTTCCCGAAAAGACTTGACATCTTCATCGGAAGCGGAAAATCTGCCTTTTTAATCTAAGATGAGCCCCAACCGCGAAAACCATTGGCGTGAAAAGTTTCCGGTCTGCCTTCTTTGTTTTCTCCAGCATCCTCACGTATCTCCGCACAATGAGCTCGAAGATTCTTGCAGGCCTTTCAAATCGAAACGTCTCTTCTACGGCGCCATTCGTGATTGACGTTTCAAAAGACCCCGCGCCTAGGGTCGTCGCTTCGATATGGGCCATGATTTCGGTATCGACGGTTTTTCTGTTCTGTCGTGTCTACTGCAAGAAGATCAGATCCCGCGGCTTGTGGACAGATGACTATCTCTTGGTGGCGTCTTGGGTAAGGGGCTTTGTTGGACCGTTGGAAGAGCTTTCATTGCTGACGATTGAACTCTGAAGATATTCCTGCTAGTCTCGACGTCTCTCACCACAGAGCTTATGAGACTCGGGTTTGGAAAGTCGCTAGATTTCTCAGCCCATATCTTCACTCTGTCGTCTGTCAACGTCGTCATGAACAAGGTCGCCTTGGCCCTCAGCAAAACGTCCTTTGCAGTCACGATGTTGCGCATTGCGTCTGGGAAACTTAAGGTTTTCATTTGGTTCCTGATCTTATCCATGAACGCAGTCTTGGCAACTAGCGCTGTTGTCGCATGGAAAGCGGCCTGCGACAGACCGTCGGACTCTTATGAAGCTGTTTTACCTGGATCCTGCTGGCGAGTGGAGGATTCGGTCATTATGCACATGGTATCGAATGGTGAGCACCGGATTGACTGAGCTGAATTTTTTTTAAACAGCAAGTTAACTTATGATTCAGCATACTCAGCACTGGTTGACTTCATCTTGTCTTTGCTCCCATGGCCGATGATATGGAAACTAGCCCTGAAGCGCCATGAAAAGATCGGTGTTGCTGTAGCTATGAGCCTCGGGGTCATTGCAGGGTTAGTCGGGGTCATCAAGGTCATCAAGATAGTGACTATTGCCGAAGGCGCAGATATACCCTGTGAGCATCAAGATATTGTCCTGGTGTTTGGTTCTCTCTAATTATTTTACAGATCGCCTTTCTCTGCTCTTTATATGGGGACAAGCCGAGATCAACGTCACAATCGTTGCGTCATCTATCCCCGTTCTACGAGTACTTTTCACGGAGATGTATGCAACGACGAGATCGGATGAGAGAAATGGATACTTGAAGTCGGATGGACAGAGTGCCTTCCCAACAGAGATTGGCATGAACACTCTAGAGGAGGGAAGGAAGATAGAAGAAGAGACGAACCGGAATGTTTTGCTTGCCATGGGGCCATCGACGACTCCCAACTCCGCCATGAGAGCTCGCGAGACTGAGATTGGATACAACGCAATGGATGAGATTACGCAGGGGACACAGAGACACACATTGAGAAACTCTGAAAGCTACGAGGGAATTGAGCTAGCGAGAGCCCTGAGGTGACAAGGAAATGCTTGTTGATCGAGATATCCAAGAGCCATTGAGCAATAGACTCGGATAGCACACGCAATTGTACCCATTTCGCCTTCATTTGTCGACATTTGACCTATCTGTAGTCCAGAGCCGGTGTCTAAGCGCAAAAGTCTCGAATCACAGTCTCCATCACTGATGCCACTTCCCGAATGCTCGACACGCTCACCCATTCCTCCTTGCCGTGGATCCCAAAACTTTTGGGGCCATAGACAACCGATGAGATACTAATCGCGTTCAACAATGCAGCGTCGCACCAAAAGGAACATGCAACAGGTTCTTGCGCCTTACCTAGACACTTCGAGGTAGCAGAGACGAAGGTCTTGATGAACTCATCGTCCGGGCTTTGCCCAAGCGAGGGCCGTGAGAAGGTCATTCGAGGAGCAGCATATTTGAAATCCGGATTGGACTTGGCGATGCTGGATAAGATGCTCTCAATATCCTCAAGAATACTCTTCTTAGTCTGTGCTGGAACGGTCCGAAACTCAACTGTCAAAGTGCAGCGTTCCGGATAGCTGGAAGGCTCCTCGCCGCCCTGAATGAGACCGGCATGCAAAGATGCCTTTCCCAGCCGAGGATCGGAGGGAAGTGACTTTGAGTACTCAAGGAGTGCCGTCTGCACGGCACCAGCGAGTAGAATGGCATCTACACCATCCTCAGGCTTAGATCCATGGGCCGCGACGCCGAGTATGTCGATTTCAACCCAAATGAATCCCTTATGAGCGATCGCCATCTCCTGGTTGGTTGGTTCCGGTATGATGGCGGCGTCGGCCCTCCATCCGGCCTTGATGACCTCTTCTGTGCCTATGGAGAAGTTCTCCTCGTCGGCGACTGCGGCGAGAATCACATCACCTCGTAGGGGAGGGCTCGATTTAGAGCTGCACCGGGCCATTGACGCCATGGCAGCTGCTAGCCCTGCCTTCATGTCCGCGCTCCCACGACCATAGATTCGTCCTCCGCCGTCCGACTTGAGTTCCCCGCTCAAAGGATCCAAGTTGGGCGAGTAACTCGACAGGCTGACGGTGTCAACATGCCCGTTGAGCATGATTGATTTCCCCCCTCCTGATCCACGGAGCACGCCGACCACGGAAGGTCGGCCTCGCCTCTCTTCCAGCCAGTGCGCTTCAAAGTTGCGATGTTGCAACCACGCAGAAACGTAGTGGGCAATCTCGCCCTCGCCGGCACCTGAAGCCTTGGATAGGTCGGGGTTGGAAGAGTCGATGGACGTGAGGATCTGCGTCAACGTGACGGGGTCATCCGTGGACACGTCCAAGGGGATCTTGTAGTTTCGTGGACCCTCTGTGTTCAGTAATACCACTACGGCGTCTTTGGAAAGATAGGTTGGCCGTGGGCTCACTTGGGCAAGCCGTCGGAACGCTGCGACAGTAGCACCACCACACGGCCCGCTCTTCACCCCCTTCATCTGGAGATACTTCACGGCCTCATGAGCTTCAAAGTCCGAGACTGTGGCACTGGCATCGATGCCTACACACAGATCATCAAACGCCGTCAGAGAGACAGTACCGCAGTTGAGCCCTTCCATGATGGTTCTCGAGGTATGAACCGTCACTGGCTTACCGGCCGTCAGGCTCGTCCAGAGACATGGAGCGGTATCGGGCTCGACTGATAGGACTGCACAGTGTCGTTCCTCAGACTTGCAGTGAGACACAACGGCATGCGCCAGAGATCCAACGCCGACTGGGGTCACCATCAATGTCGGCTTCAGCCCGTAGTCGGCCACCTGCTGCTCGGCTTCGCGAATGAGAGTAGAGTAGCCCACGACGATCCAAGCAGGAATCTGCTCGTACCCCGCGAAGGCATTGTCCTGGATCAGAAGACCGCCCTTGACTGACTTTGACGCTTGCCAAGCCTCCAAGACAGCGTCGTCATAGTGGGAATTGCTCACGATGACTTTGGCGCCCTCGGAAGCGATGTTGGTGACTGCCTCACTATCAACACTGCTCGGAACGTAGATTTGCGCAGGAATGCCTAGAATTCTGGCCATGGCCGCAACGGCTCTACCATGGTTTCCCTCCGTAGCTGCATAGAGAGAGAGGTTGTTTGTCTGGGCGGCCTTTGCGACATCGTTGAGGTGTGTGTCGGCGGGCAAGTGCAGCTCAGTTGTGATGGCGCGGTAAGTTCCCCATGATGCACCCAGAATCTTGAAGGACGGTAGTCCTAGTCTGTTGCTCTCGTCTTTGATGTAGACGGCTCTCACGCCTAGTTCCTGGGCGATATCCTCGAGTGAAATAAGAGGGGTTCTGGCGAAGGCGGGTAGCTGCTGGTGGAATGCCTGTGCGAGAGATGTATCGGAGGCAGGTTTGATGGGTCCCGTCTCATGATTGATATATACGCTTCTGCGTGTGGTCGTCATGGTTGAGTACTAAGATCCTGTATTGATGCTCCAACTTTACTTGAACTGACGTGGAAAATGGTGAGAATTATGGAGGAAACTTGTAGTTCCTTATGCTACATTTTGTATATTAGCGCTTGTCAGATGTATATGGTCGCAACACAGACAGTCCACCATCACTACATGGCCATACTCGAACTCGAGGAGGTGTTGGAATCATTGTTGAAGCGCGAATGTGGACTCCGTGAATCGCCAGGATGAGGGGCCGAGGAGTGGGGACGTCTGTCGGCGAAGGGCGCATAAGGCGCGGGCTACGCCGAATAAGTGTTTACCGATGAATTCGCAATTGCTGCTTAATAAACCAATTCCGTCTCAACCAGGCCTTAGAATCCAGCAAGTGACTCATATATCGCTCACCAGATTCACTATTTAGACAGCCCGTATGAACGTGGGCCCATTCTATCTGTCGTTCGAGCCCTGTTGGCATACTTCATTTGTGTCTACCATCTTAGCCGTCCGCCCTTCAACGACAGATCGATGGAGCTCCCCTACACCACCGTCGACGTCTTCACGGACAAGCCCTTTGAGGGCAACCCTCTAGCCATTGTCACAATCCCGGCCTCAACAACCCTGACGCAGGAGCAGAAGCAAGCCATTGCCAGAGAGTTCAACTACTCGGAGACGACCTTTGTGCACGAAGTCGACGACCCCGCATCTACGGAGCGCCGCTTCGATATTTTCACGCCGACCGCGGAGCTTCCCTTTGCAGGTCACCCCACCGTCGGCACGGCCATCTTTCTCAAGTCCCGCGGCGTCAAGAAGCTGATTGCAAAGGCCGGGCCCATTGAGATCGAAGAAACCGGGGCCGAGTCCGTACGGGCCGCCATCCCGCACAACACCCATCTTCACCAGAAGCGGCTGAAGGACCTCGGGCCTGGGCCCTACAGCAATGCGACGACAGAACTTGCCGCTGCAGAGGCCGAAGCGCCCGTCTTTAGCATTGTGAACGGCATGACGTTTGCCCTCGTTGAGCTGCCCTCGCTGGCATCGTTGGCGTCGGCAAAGATGGGGCCCATGGAGTTTCGGCAGCAGGAGCTTCTGGACGAGGGTTGGCGCGAGACGTTCATTTCGCGATACTACTTTGTGCGACTTGGTGCCGAGACAGTCGATGGACGTGTTGTGTACAAGATCAGAACCCGTTTGATCGAACCTGATCTGGAGGATCCTGCCACGGGTAGCGCTGCCTGCGCTCTCTCGAGCTACCTGAGCTTGTACGAGCTGTCTGAAGATTCCCTCAGCTTCGATATCACGCAGGGAGTCGAGATGGGTCGAAGAAGCAACATTTACGTTGACGCGAAGCTTGGACGGGGCACGGATGGTGCACGAAAGCTGGAGACGCTGCATCTTGGAGGAACGGCCACAAAGGTCATGAGTGGCACCATCTTTTTGAGGTCATAAACAGTGGAGTAACATGTACGAGATGGCTATAAGCATTTATGAACAATGTAGATGAATTTGTACAAGAAGCGAAGCCGGTAGTTGTCTCACGCAGATACCCTCTGGCTTTCGTTCACCTCAAAGGTTGATGTTCAAGCCGAGCGTGTTGTTGAACGTGACGGTGCCCCAGTACGGCTCTTGTCCGGCATTTCCCACATTGACGTAGGTGCTCTCGGAAAAGACGCCCTGCTTGGAGAGCGCAAGGAGCCAGTCCTTGATGTCTCCCTCGAAGGAGCCCTTCTCCAGGTCGCCGTACTGAGTGGGAGCAAGCAGCGAAGACACGGTGATGCCGGTATCGGTGTTCTTGCCCTGGTACAGCTTCCATCCGTCCTTGCCAAAGAGCCCGTCGATTGTGGCCGTTGGGCCCTCGGCCCAGCCAATGGGCACCTGTCCGCCTTCCCAGCGGAGCCAGAGCATGAGCTCCTGGGCGTTGCTGGACGTGCTGTCGCCTTTGGTGTCGGAGGTCATGAAGTCGTAGACGACGTTGCCTTTGGTACTTGGATTAGCACATGCGAGCACCACCGGGTTGAGCGTGATGCAAGGTAAAAACCAAACTTACCCTTGTAGGCCGAAGAGTTGGAGACAGTCCAGCTGTAGGTGCTGGGGATGCTCTGAATGTCGCTGAGCTTGGTCTCGAGGTTTTGGGTCAGGCCGATGAAGGAGTATCCCTTGACGACGTCCTTTTGGTAGGTAGGATCAATGTCCCAGATGCTGCTCCATTGGATTCGTTGCGCATCGCCAGATCCTGAAGTGCCGTAGTAGCCGGTGCAGGCCGATCCCTTGATGGCCTGGTAGGCGTAGTTCATCGAGTAGACGATCCACGGGGTGCCCATGAGGACTTCATAGTCGTTGGGGGCACCGCAAAAGGTCTTTTCGGCGACCGCGGCGGACGCGAAGACGGCCGGGGCCAGGTAGCGAGAGAAATGCATCGTTGCTGGTTGGATTTGCTGGAATTGAGAAGCTGTAAAGACCGTGTAAAGCAACCCGCCAGTGGTGCGAAAAAGGATGACAGTGGAAGTTGGAATGAAGATTGGAATAGAATTACATTTGGGCTACACGGAGTATAAGTTACTATTATCTACCCGGTACATACATTTGTTCTGAGTGACAACACGGAGTCTTGTCTCATTCCCCCCTGCCGAGAAGTTTTGATGAGATTTCGTGGAGAAAGCAGGGGCAACTAATTAAGCAGAGAAAGCAGACCATAAAGCGGTTGTAAATACCGGATCACATTGCACTTGGTCAATCTGAAACCGCCCGTCGATTGCAGCACCCCGGCCCGTACGGGAAATAATTACACGAACCCGGGGCCCATCAAAAGGCGGAACAGCAGTTCACAGGGACTAGACTCACAGTCTCACTAGAGAAGACGCAGCTTCATGTTAAGTGGAATAATCCTATCCGTAACTCTTGCACAGCACACTACGAAGTGAGTTCAGCTACTAAACATCCTCGCCATCCCGAACAGTCTCAATCTCAGCCCGCGAACCCGAAGACATCGGACTGCGCCATGGTGGACCTTGAAGGGGTTCATTTGTTCTCAGCTTAATTGTGGAGCGGCGTCAGCTGCGGGTTCTAGACTTTCTGCATGGGAATAACACCGGGAAACAAATCTGTTCATCGGTGGGGAGACGACTGTCGCTGGAAGGATCCCGGCTGTGCTCATTTCGAATCATGTTGACCAAGCGCCTCGGGTGAGTAGGTTTCCTCGCATTCGACCCGCTATAATGTGCACGAAGTAGGAGCACGTAGGAAACGCACTCAAGTACGGCATGGTTCAGCTTGATAGCAACTGGGCAGAATCCGGCTCAAGCGGACATTTGCGAGGGGCGACCTCATGGCGGTGAAGGCGGCAGAAAACCATGTATCGTGTCAATCTGCATCCTCCCGCCTGTCGTAGGATGAAAGGGAGGGGTGTTTTGGTAGATCTAAACAGTGCTTGATAAGCATGACTAGTAAGCAGTGTGAAGCTATTCGCAACAAGTTGTTTGTGCATCTGTCGAACCTGCTGTTTCATTCCTCCCCAACCCATGCTGCTACCCTCTCCTGACTTTCCCACTTTCTCAGTGACAACCTCATGATTTACTATCGAATTAGTAAGCTAGAAGACCTGAAATGTTCTAGAAAATGGATACAAGTGGACACAGACCTAGCCAGTTCTAGTTATCGAGAGCGGCGGCCTTGCAAATCAATGGGCGCTGGAGAAACAACACGACGCTGTCCAACGCATCCATGGTCTGATGGACGGGTTCGAATGACACTTTGAATGCCATTTTGGTGGGTTGGCCATCGGGGGATAGATCAAATGGCCGCCACGGTGACCCCTACTGTACTCCGTATGCCACTGTGCCAACTGGCAAACTGCCACCGGGATACTGGCATGCATCTGGCAATTGGCGTGAATGCCGAGCGGCTCCGGGCAGAAAGCGGAATGGCGGCGGAAAGTCAATGGACACGGGCAGGGGTGTAAAAGCTCTAAGCTGGGGTGTCTACGGTTCAAGACGTTCGAGTCAGTGGAATCGAGTTCAAAAGAAGGTCGCATTGCCGGACCCGATATGACGGTATAAGTGGACATTGCGTCATGTCGACGCTCTTCGAAGCTTCGGAGCTTCGAAAACCCCACGATTGCTTTGAAATCTTTTTTCTAGGGGACCGATACATAAAGACCGAAGCAAGACCCTGGCATCTGTTGCTGAAGAATCTAAAAGATTGTTCGGATGATACCGCCCCAGACTAATCATCACACATACACACACCACAAACACTCATCATGGCACCAACATCAACCAACGCCTGGTCCATCACCGGCATCGGCAAGGACAGCAGCAACTGGGACACCCTCGAGCTGAAGAAGGATGTGCCCCTCCCGCAGCTGGGCGACTACGATGTCCTCGTGCAAATCGAGGCCGTCTCCCTAAACTTCCGTGACCTGGCTATCCCCAAGGTAAGTTTCCCTTGTGCCCGCTCGCTGCCCGAGGTTTCCTCCGGTCGACCGAGAAACGCCGCCCCGAACTACCCAAACCTCCGACCCGCCACCACCCCGCTAACGCCGCTCCTTCGCACCTAGGGGCTCTACCCTTTCCCCGTCAGCTTCCCCCGCGTCCCGGCCTCTGACGGCGCCGGCCGGGTCGTCTCCGTCGGCCCCAAGGTCACGCAGGTCAAGGAGGGCGACAACATCGCCACGCTCTTCAACCAGCACCACCAATCCAACCCCATCACCCCGCTCGCCGTCAAATCCGGCCTCGGCGGCGCCCTGGACGGCACTCTCCGCCAGTACGCCGTCTTCCCCGAGCACGGCGTCGTAAAGTCGCCCAAGACGCTCTCGTCCGTCGAGGCCGCCACGCTGCCCTGCGCACCGCTGACGGCGTGGAACGCGCTGTACGGCCTGCAGTCCAAGGCGCTCAAGCCGGGCGACTACGTGCTGACGCAGGGTACCGGCGGCGTGAGCCTCTCGGCGATCCAGTTCGCCGTCGCGGCGGGGGCAACGGTCATCGCGACGACGTCGTCGGCGGCAAAGGGCGAGCAGCTCAAGAAGCTCGGCGCGCACCACGTCATCAACTACAAGGAGACGCCCAACTGGGGCGAGGTGGCCAAGTCGCTGACGCCGGAGAGCGTGGGCGTCGACCATATCATCGAAGTCGGTGGACCGGGTACGGTTGCGCAGTCGCTCAAGGCGGTTAAGTTGGAGGGCGTGATTTCCATTATCGGGTTCTTGTCGCACGGGGACAAGCCCGAGGGGGAGCAGCCTACGCTGCTGGATGCGCTGGCCAACATTTGCACGATCCGCGGGTTGTTTGTGGGCTCGAAGCAGCAGTTTGAGGAAATGAACCAGGCGATCGACGCCAACAAGATCAAGCCTGTTGTCGACCAGAAGATTTTCGGCTTCGAGGAAGTCAAGGAGGCGTACCAGTACCAGTGGGACCAGAAGCACTTTGGCAAGGTTGTCATCAAGATTTGAGGTTGCCTCGAAGTAGAGTGCGCGAGAGAGCGTAGTGTAATGCAGTTATGACCACCATGTTTGTTTGATGCTTGTGAAGTAAAAATTTGTCAAGTTTCTTCTCTGCTGTTGTAGTACGACGGTCAATCCAAGATGGTTGATGCTATTCAGGGCAAAAAACTACACCTGCAGTCACCACACCAAGTGCACTTGTAAGACACTTCTTCATAAGAACAAGGAATGACTCCATCGCTCGTGAACCGATGACCACCCAAACCAAACCCCAAACTCCATGCCCATTATGTTGATGATTCCATTGCGATCCAACTCCCTACCACACAATCACTCCCGCTCAGAAACGTCCTCGATGCGACGATCAATCTTTTCCGGCCCATCGCTCTTGACACCGCGTCCCTCTGGCAGGGCTCGTCCCGCAGAATCGTACTCGCGGCGCTCGAGGTAGACAGGTTCGCCCGTCTTGTAGGAGGCGGTCCGGACAGTGGTGCCCGAGGGGCTCCGCTCCGTCTTGCGGGCCCAGCGCTTCTCCTCCGTCTTGCCGTTGTGGCTGATTGAGGAGGAGAAGGAGATGGAGGATGTGAAGGAGAAGGGCATCTTGGTTGTTTTTAATCTTGGTTCTCGCTTCTCGGGACTCGATTCGTTTCGAGTTTTGGGTGTCTGATTGTGGTTTTCTGTCTTCTTTTCAGAGCTGATCTGTGGTGAGTTGGAGGAATAAGAAGATGGAAGTTCCGGCTGTCCAAGTTCGAGAAGACGGGAGGTGGTTATGTAAGTACCGTGTACCTAACCTTACCAGCAGGTGCACCTTCCCGATAGTTCCCTGATACCATAAATCTGGAAACAAGTTCAAACGTCAAAGTGCCTGCCGTAAGTGTCTGGTGAGTGGCCTGATGTCGACCACCGGGCCTCCTTCCCTCCTCGGTGCTCCTTCCACCTCACTGGGCACTTACATCATTGCTCCGCACAAACCACCTGGGCACACCGACGTCATCGCAATGCATCCCACTTTGCTTAGTCAGTATGCACAATTCCACTGCATAATTCAACTAATGAATTGATCCAAGGGTGCCTGCCTTACCTAAGCATCGCGTATCTCATTATCACAGCAAAATCTCCATGATTTGACCAAGGAGTGGGCGCACAGAGTTTATTGCATTTATTGGGTTCTTCTTATCTGTACGCACATGTTATTATCCAGAGGTCACAAGAAAATACTAGCAAATAAGGTCCATCGCGATCTGGGGTGAAGATGAGGAACTGAGTAGCTACCAAGACTCCGACATGATGGTCAACCGACTGCCATAGAAACTATCATGTGCTCAGTCATGTACACCTACGCAACACACAGATTTGACTTCAAGATATAATATCTAATACGAAGCAAATTGCCATATATGCAACTAACCCTTCACCTTGAACCTCGTCACAACAGCAGCATGATCCGAAGTCCACTCATTCCCCCCATGCCCCGGCTCTGGCGCCGGCTCCCCCACCACAACCTCCTCCGACCCGACAACCTCTAGCTTCCCGCCCCGGAAATACACAAAATCAATTCTATCCATCGGCTCCGGCCGCCCTTCATTCTCCAGAAAGATGGGCGACCACGTAACCCCCGGCCTCGCCCCCGGGTCCGGCCACACAACCCGATACGAATCAATCAAACCGGCCTCCGTCGGCACCACAGAAGTAGGCCACGGCACATTTCCTTGTCCGCAGTGCATCCCGCTCGTGGCATCAACCCAATCCAGATGCGAAGGCGCGTTGAAATCACCCACCAACACCACCGGCACCGTCTCCGCGTCCGCCAACTGTCCCGCCATGGCCCGGACGACAGACTCGATCTGCGGCGTCCTCTTGGACTCCGTCTCCCGCGCCAGCACCTCCTCCACCGTCATGTTGTCGAAGCAGAAATCATAGGGTCCGTACGGGTCATACCCCAAGTGAACATTCCACAACACAACCTCCTCCCCTTCACCATCCAGCACAACCCTCACGGACGCAGCATACGTCCCGCCCTCGTGCGCGGCGGCGTTCTTGAGCGGATACTTGCTCACGAACCCAACATCGCCGCCCTGCCACGAAAACCACCCCAATGCATCCCCCAGCCGCGTAGCATGTCCCCCCGTGCTCTCCTGCACGCCGACAATATCCGCGCCGCTGGACGCCAGGAACCGCACTTGTTTGGCGTGGTAATCGGATACCTGCGTCCCGCCGTGCCAGAGGTTAAACGACATGACGGATACCTCGTCCACGAGCGGTGCGCCGACGGGGCGGACGGGGATGGTGACGTTCAGCCGCGCAGACGGTCCATCCTCTGCTGCTGCTGTAACCGCTTCGACCGTGACTTGAGCGAGGCCCGCGACGTCAGGCGTACCAAATAGGACGCCCGCCTCCGATACCTTGACCCATTCGCTCCCCCCGACTTTACGGAAGCTCACGCCTGCGCTCCCGCCACCGCTCCTCAACCCATCAACACGCGCCTCGTACCCATCCCCGACACGCGCGTTCCTCAGAGTAACTTCGTCAACGAAGAATCCAACCGGCCCAGAGGCATACGGTACCCTCACGTCCACCGGCGGCGCAAGCCACGCATACCCGTCTCTGGCGAGGAAGTAGGCGCGGTAGTCGCCAGGGACCAACCCCGACCCTACGTTCTCAATCTTGAGCGTCCCATTCGACTCAGGCGCATACCCCCAGACCAGCGACGGCTCCACGAATGTCTGGTTCTCGGGTCCGCCGCCCGAGGCGCGGTAGATGCCGATCCAGTTCTTCGCGTCAGCGTCTGTTGTGGAATATGAGAATGTGAAGACGGGGTCGTCGGGTAGGAAGGTCAAGCTTCCGGACTGACGGGTCGTTAGGATGGCGAGGGCTGGTGTTGGGGATTGCACTACGAAGAGCGCGGAGAGGATATGCGAAATGAGTACCGTGAAGCGCATCTTTGCAGATTCCCAGACGCATGGGCCGAAAAGAACAATTCCATTGTTGTCAGTCATGGAATCCAGGGGAATGCATCGCTTTTTATTCAGTTACAGCTCAAACGTACCTGCCTTGATGCCAGTCCTTCAAGTCAATGATGTAAAAGTTGTCAGCTTCAGCGGAGCGGCCAATCCTTTCGTGGCACCGCACCACAGGAACTACTTCGTTTGCACACTGAAGGATTCCGACCCTCGGGAATCCAGTAGTCTTGGCATGGTATTGTGGCCACATACGGGGCTGATCTGCGTAAGGAATGGGAATAGTCTCGCCCGAGCAGGCTCGGGTTTGGTAATGGTAACAGGGGCTTAAATCGGTGCCTGATGACTTGCAGCAGTGACTGAGACACACTTCCGAGAGGTGCAATAACAATTTTGTAGATGACTTTGATTCGTTACTATATCACAAAGGTATCATCACCTACAACACGCGCACTAGTCTCGCTCACCCGCTCCAAAGTACGCACTCACTTGTCCCCATAAGCTGACAATATGGTGGTCATCTCTCGCTTACTTCTTCTCCGAGGCCGCTCTCTCCTTCTCCAGGTCAATGTCATCGTCGCCAATTTCGGTACGGTGATCATCATCGCTGGAGCCGAGGTACTCCCCAAATACTCTCTGTTCAATGTCCATGTCTTTCCAGGCGACACCGAGCTTCTTGCTGTTGCGGATCCTAAAGAAGACGCGCTTGCCCCATTTCCAGGACTCAACACCAGCAAAGAAAAGTCCTGCAGCAATAAACACAATGCCCCATTCCCACGTGATGCCCTTGTGCTTGAATACGACCGTGTTGATGACGGGGATATACAGCAGGGGAAATAGAGTAATGAAGCCGATAATGATGGCCCAGAAAAGGAATCTGTTCCGCCAGACGTCAATCATCCACTGAGTAAAATACTTCTTGGAACCCGGTTGCATGCGGAAGAAGGACCGACGCATATCAACCATCTCCCAGGCCAAGAACAAGGCAAACCATGTGAGGCAGGCAAAGGTTGTAGCTCGGGCGCGGAAGACCGTGTCGCAAGAGTCATTGTACTTTTCGTTGCAACTCTCTCCTAGATCACCAGTACCGAAACCATAGACAACCAACGAGAAGCTTGAGAGGCAAAGAGCGGTGATCCAGAGGCCGTAAAAGACCATGTCGATGAGGAACTCCATGGTGAAAATGCCCGTCTTGAGAGACTGGGGCGGGCGACGCATAATATCTGGGACGGCACGCTCAAAGCCAAGTCCCATATCGGGCATACCAGAGGTGGCCATGATGATCCAGACGATTTCAACCGGGGCAAGCGGGAAGACCGACAGCCCGCGTGCATCCTTGAAAGTGAGACCAACAAGCAATGTTCCAGCTTGGGCAATGTTCTCAGCAAGGACGTGCAACACGAACTTTTGAATGTTGTCAAAGATACGACGGCCCTCTTCGATAGCGGCGACAATGGAGGCAAAGTTGTCGTCAGTCAAGACGATATCGGATGCATCCTTGGCGACGTCTGAACCTGACTGACCCATGGCAATACCAACATCGGCACGGCGGAGGGATGGGGAATCGTTGACGCCGTCACCGGTCTACCTGAGTTAGAATACCATTACACAACTAGGGCAAAGGGATATCGACTTACCATGGCGCAGAACTTCTTGCGGCGGTGAAGAGCCTCAATCATTCGGACTTTGGTGCTAGGGGCGCATCTCGCAATGACGAGCGGCAGGACGGGGAGCTTGTCAACCTCGTCATCACTCAATGCATCGAACGACGAAGCCGTCATGACCATGGCGTCTGCAACGTTCCTTGCGACACGCTCCATGCGAGTGGGCAAGATGCCAACCTCAATGGCAATGGCCTTTGCAGTCTCAGGGTGATCACCGGTGAGCATGTGGACCGAAATGCCAGCCTCATGGCACTGACGAACAGCAGGAGCGGATTCCGGGCGAGGAGGATCGTACAGTCCCACGAGACCGCGGAAGACTAGGTCGCACTCGACTGAAGCACGCTCAACTTCATCGCCCTTGTTGGGTGTGCCCTCATAAGGCTTGCTGGCAAGTGCTAGGACGCGCAACCCGAGTCCTGCCAATGCCTCCATGTTGCGAAGGATCTCCTCGCGGAACTCAGGGGTGATATCTACCAATACGCCATCATCTCTGGGGGCGTACTTTGTGCAAATCTGAATCACTCTCTCGACCGCACCCTTGGTGTAGGCGAAGTACTCGTTCGTGGTGTTGTTCTTCATGATGACGGACATGCGTTTGACATCAGAGTCGAATGGAAGCTCGGCAATCTCGCTCCATTCGGGGGTGTCACTGCCACTGACAAACTTGAGGCGATTCATGTCGAACCGAGAAGCAAAGACCTGGATGGCGATTTCGGTGGGATCGCCGCGGGCATGCCATTGATCATCTTTCTTGTTGATGGTGGCGAGATTGGCCAGGGACGCCACGTAGAGGAACGCAGAGAGAGTCGACTTGCTGTTTTGCAACAGCTGGTCGGTCTTCATGATGGTGCCACAAGCATCACCTCCCTTTTTGAAGTTGAGGTGTCTAGGAGACCGCTCGTCGTAGCGAACATCACCAGTGGTGGGGTCCATTGGTGACGATGTATTTTCGACGGTGTACGTTCCCATGGCAGGCAACCAAGCACCACGGGCCAGCATTTTGCCCTGCGTCAGGGTGCCGGTCTTGTCGGAGCAAATGTCCGTAACTGCGCCAAGAGCCTCGAGAGACTTGAGATTGCGCACAATGACATTGCGCTTCACCATGCGCTTGGTTCCGGCCGCCATAGTGATGGTGAGTACAACAACGAGACTGGCTGGGATCATGGATAGACCGGTGGCAACTGCGTAGATGATGACCTCCTGACTAGCCTCGAACTTGTTGGCACCGAGAACGATAATGGCACAGACGATGGCGATGCCGAACAAGAGCATGGCGAGCTTGGAGAGTTTCTGTTGCAAGGGGGTGCCAACATTGACACCAAGGAAACGTCCAATAGCATCGGTCAAAGTCAGGGTATAGGCCTCAAGGTATCGGTGAGGCTTTGCTTTGCCATTGGGCTTGCGCTTGACCTCGCGGACCTTGGAATCCTTCTTACGAAGGGCAGACGCAATAGCTCCAATTTCGGTGTAAACGCCTGTGGCGAAGACAATACCCTTGGCACGACCCTTGGTGACATTGGACGAACTGTAGGCGACGTTGAGACGATCTCCAGGGCCGGTGTTGTCGGGGAAAGTTGCGTCTTCGTTCTTTCGCACGGGGAGGGATTCGCCGGTCAACAGAGCCTCGTCGGTCTCGAAGTTGACCGCCTCGATCAGCCTGTAGCATCATCAGTTGCTCTGCTTGGTCTTGACGTTGTTGTTGATGGCATAGGATACCTGACATCTGCGGGGATCGTATCTCCCGTCTTGAGTTCAACGAGGTCACCAGGGACGATTTCGCCCGAAGGGACAACCATGGATTCGCCGTCACGAACGATGTTGGCAGTGGGAGAACTGAGGGAACGGAGGGAGTCCATTGTCTTCTCGGCGGAGTACTCCTGGAAGAAACCGACAATGACGTTGAGTAGGATGACGAACGTAATGACGCCGCCCTCGATGTACGAGCCAATACCGAAACTAACGGCCATGGCAAGAATCAGGACCTAGACACGGGTCAGCAAAGGGCGGGATCGAGAGAAGGTGGGAAAGCAACTGACCATGGTCATGGCATTGGCAATCTGGGCGATGATGATCTTGATGGGCTGAACGCCCTCGGCTTCGCCAAGATCATTATGGCCGAATTCGTCGAGACGGGCCTTTGCATCTTGGGCTGAGAGGCCATTGAGGGTGTTGGCACGGAGCTCCTCGGCCAGCTGCTGGTATGATAAGGCGTGGGCTGGGTGAGAGAGCGGTTTGTTGGATTGACCCGAGACGTGATTCTCATCGGGCTTTGCGGCCTTTTGATTCCCCATGCCAGGCAAAGGGGAACAGAGTGTGGAGGCTCAAAATAGGTGATGGGAAAGGTTCAAAGTTGATGCAAGAGAGAATGTAACTCTTGCCGTTGAGAGTGACAGAAAGACAAGGGGGTTGATATTGGGAGGGGGTTTCGAGATGGGATCGGTTGAACAAACTGGCAATGACGTGTAGTCTTGTTGACACAATTAATCAGTGTGAAAGATGTTTGTGAGTCGGACAAGGTGCGATACAGCGTCAAGCAGATGTCTGGATGGTGCAGCGAATTCAGCAAGGACTGGTCAAGGTGGCAACACAGAGGCAGGTTGTCAATTGAGGTGTCATTGGATGGCTTGCAGCGTTCGTTGTTGGTGAGAAAGAGGCACGAAGAGACACAGGCGGGGAGAGAGGCATCGGTCTGCTTTTTGAGGGCAGGAGGGAAGGCGAAAGGCGGTATCGCCAAGAACAATTGGAATCCATTGATTGCGGTAACGGCAAGAACGGTACCGGTATCGTGGCAGTTGAGGAACAACAAGGAAAGAGTGAAGAGGGGCAGAGTACGCGGACAGAACATGGATGTAAGGCAAGCACTGCAAGGTACCTACCTACCTTGAGTAGTACGGAGTAAGTACCTTGGATAGGTGTTCGTACTGGAAATGCCGAGAAGGCGACGGCGACAGGATTTGTTTCTGCAAAAATTTCCTTACTGGTGCAGAAGTCGGCGAGTGTATCCATCCATCAAGCACTAGAACACGCTTGGCCATCTTGGCTGACCTTGGCGGAGGCGGGCCCTTCGTGCTGTGTGCAGCATTATCTGGGGATATACCGGATATTTGTGTTATGTTTTTTTTTGGTGGTCTTTGCTGGCAGGGGAAAGTCGCACGCATTCAGACATGGGAAAGTGCACAATTGGAACGATTACGTCAGATGCCGAGTCCGCTCGAATTTGTAGGGAAAGCACGGCGGGAACTTAGGACATTGAACATATGCGGGGTATCAAATGGGCAGGTGCTGGTGACGGTGCGAAGGGAGGAAAGAATAAGAGAC